GCTGGCTGAGGAACTCTGGGAGTTGAAGTCCACAAGTCTTAAAGTTGCCAAGGTTGGAGACCCCTGGCCCAAATGAAGCAAAAGCACTCGCCTGGTGTTCAGAAACAGGTTCCCCCTCACCCCCATTTGACTGCTGCTGGGTGACGGCAACTGAGCGGAGCAAGGATGAGGCGTTGGGGCGAGGGTAGCATCTCTCCGTCCTTTTCAGGTGACCAGACTTCTTGGGCTGAGACGTTGCGGGTCATCTAGTCCAACTCGAGATCAAGAAGCTTCCAGGCTCAGAGGACTCAAGTCCCCACCGCATTGCAAACAGTCTCCCCTTATTACAGCTTTCTGTTTGGCCTATGTGTGGCTTCTAGTGCAGATGGCGGCTCCTACTAGCCAGCCAAGAAAATACAATTCATCTTGATGAGAGATCTTGCCTCTTCCATGTAATCAGGGCATCTGGGAGCAAAGCCGCTAAGCTTCCTTTCAATTTGCAGTGGGGATGAAAGAAACTGGTATTTGCACACCTGCTTCAGTGGGTGTAATTTAAAGGATGGATTAATTGCTGTTTGCAGGGTACCACGTTGGTGCTGAGTTTGGTTTTGAAATGTTATGCTCAATCTTTGCCAACTTTTAACATATTGGGTTATGCAACAGACTTGATTGTGAATAATTGTATTCAGATATAGTTGTTTTGCTATTTAGAAGATGGAATTGCAGGGCCTACTATCAACTAAGGTTGTACATTGCTCTGGTGTGAAGCTGGGATTGGTGGGGTAGAATACTTGGCTTTCTGTTGCTGAAATGGGCAGCACCATCCTTTCTGGCTTGGATCAAAACTCTGAAGCTGATAGGCCAATTCTGAGGCAACTTGTGGGTGTGAGGGAGGGGAACAAGGGCAAGGTTTGGATTTGGAAATCTCAGAATCAGTCCGAAGTCATTTTATTCAATCTATATGTATTATGTGAATCCATAAAGAGGACCAGTTTTTATTTTTGAGATATGAATAAAATTTATTTTGCTGTCCGAAAGCATTTTATTACCAATAATTTTACTTAAAAGAAGTCCACATTTTATTTTTCCCAATGATATAAGTTCTGGCAAGTAATTTATTGTTGTTATTTATTTATTTAAAAATTTTTAAGGCCACCCATCTTGTGGCACGTAACTTTAATATTATTTATTGCAACCTGACCGGCTCAAGGTTGACTCAGCCTTCCATCCTCCTGAGGTCAGTAAAATAGGGGGTCCACATTGTTGGGGCTGTTGCTGACTCTGTAAACCACTTAGGGCTGGAAAGCACTATGGGGCAGTACATAAATCGAAGTGCTGTTCCTATTGCTATTGCTCTTGAAGGACAGATTACCTCTGAATATCTCCGGACTTTAGATAAGTTTGTTACATGAAGTACCAAGGTAGCACTGGTTGTGCAAGTTGATGATCTTTAGCTGATTTAGGAGCGCAACAATCCTGGTTCTACTTGATTTTTCAGAAGCCTGTCAGCCTACAGGTCATCCTCCATACTTGTAATGTTTTCCCAAAGCTACCCAAGCTAATAAGCATCATATGAAAGAATCTGCAGGCTTATGGCTGCCACCAAATGATGCAGGGATGTGAAGTGGGGCTCTCTGCAAGCATGACAAAATCCAAACCATCTCCAGAATCAGACCTGGGAGAAGACAATGGCAAAACACTTCTGAATTGTTACCAGGGAGACTGCTAGAGAAACAATATACAAGGGGGGGAGGGGGGGGAGAAGAGACGGGGGACGTGGATGTATATAGCTGTGACATGTAGATGAATTTGAGCAGCAGTGAGGATGCTTAGCACGAGGTAGCCCAGCTTTTAAGGATTTTGCCGTTTCTGCTGCACGGCCTCTCTTTGGATCACGTGGGATTATATAATTACATTGCACTTGAATTTTCTGCTTTCGTTTCCAGAAGTCGAGTGGAAGTTGCTGGTTTTGTATTTCAGATCAAAGGGTGGGGGGGGGGGGGACTTTCTTCAAGGCTTTCATTTTTCTGTTTTCAGCATGCTCCACCCTCCCTCCTCCTCTGTCTGTCTCTATCTCAAAGAAAGCAGCACTCTTTGTAAGGCAGATCCAGCCCTTGTGGAAAAATTGCCTTCGGCCTCCAATAGAGAGGCATGTGACGGCCTCCCCCCGGTGTCCTCACACTCGGATGGGCAAATAAGATCTAGGCAGGACCCTCTGCACACATTCATGGCTTCCCATGGAAAGGGCCCCTGGGAGCTTCTTGCCACAAAGCTGCTGCTTCAAAAGGCAGCTGGACTTTCTTTGTCTTTTCCCTTGAAGACTTTTCGTTTCAGCCAGAACCGAAGAAGCTTTCTGGATGAGAAACGAAATGTCTTCAAGGGGAAAAAACAAAGAAAGTCCACTTGCCTTTTGAAAAAACACCTTTCGGACAGCCACTGAGGAAGGATTTCAGCGGAAGAGCAACCTTCCTTCTGCCGGTCTCAGCGGTGAGAAGGTGGAAATGCAGAAGAGATGATGCAGGAAGCCAGAGGAGAAAATGGATTTCAACAAGAGTTAAAAGAGCCAAGAGGGGGAAAATCCTAAGAAATCCTAAGGCCACCATCTGCCTTCTGCTTCCTGTGTTTGCTGATGATCACGATCACCCTGGGAGCCTTTTGGGTTTCGCTTCCTGTGTTCTCAGAGCTGAGGCTCCAATCTGCAACATTCCTGCTTGCTGATTCTTGTCAGAGTTTCCACTGACTTCTCTTGGCAAGGAGACCCCCCCCTCCCCACTCTGCGGGTTCAGTAACTGACCTCTGACAGGCAGAGCAGAACAGAATTTAAATGGTGGTTCTGAATGGCACTTACATATTAGCCTCTCCCGCAATGGCCGCCACATCCCTTTAGTAGTTCAGGAGCAATGTTAGCCTTTTTCTCCAGCTTTTACTGAGAAGCTCTTCCCGTTCCACACAGCGGAATGGCTAGTTTGCTTCTCTTGGCTTATTCTGAAAAATCATCCATGGGGGAAAAACGTTAATAAAAGCCCTAGAAGGCAATGAAGAAAGGAATCGGGCTCCTTGAACAGCCTTGCAGAGCACTGTGAAAGTCTGTGACCGGGAAGCGGCCTTGCATGGAATTCCAGAGTTGGAAGAGCTTTTGGTCAGCCACGTCCTCCTGGCCAGAGCAAAATCCAAAGGGAAGGACTCCTGACATGGTGGTTCTTGCCTCCTGGTCGTTTTTCTTGAAAGCTTCTGTGTCGCTGAAGTTGAACAAAACCTCCAAACAAAATTAAGTCTCTTTCATTCTACTTTGCAAAATTGCATCAGAAAAGTGTCCTAGCTGGAAATGCATTTGCCAAAATAGAAAATACTCCTGAGGTCATGGATTTTTTTTTAAAAAAAGGTTTAATCGGGATGGGAGACATGGATATGTTCATCCAGTAAATTAACTATAAACTGGAAGGGAAAATGAGAAGTTTCAGGTAACCTGGTGGATAATACCTTCGATGCCGATTCTGTTGAACTTGCTGGCATAATATAGAGTCAACAACTTATTCCAAGGTTGTAACTTTCATACTATCTTCCATCACAAGGGCAAAAAACCAAGAATGGTAGCAGCTTCCATCAATCCGGTCACTCTGAATATTTAAGGAAGTGAACTGCAGCTCACGAAGACTGATGTCTTTCTACAGAAGTCCAAAAAGAGGAGTGATTTTCTAGTGCCTAAAACAAGGTACCAAGTAAAGTGGGGAAAATGGGGGTCCTGAAATGAGGGTTGTATATTGACTTGCCAAGTCAATCAGATGATAAAATTTTGTCAGGCTGAGCTACGACTGCATTTGCAGAGCTGGTGGCATTGACGTCACTTCTACAAAACGAGAGTCTGCCCCCTCCCTTCCAGCTGAAAGGGTGGGGGGGAGAACTGGCTGGCCTCTAGTCCGTTTTGTTCCTCCTCAAATGCTGCTGCAAGGCAATGGCAGTGCAGGCAAGCCTGGAAAAAGTAGCTTGGCAGAATTGCTGCTCTGCAGATTTTGCAGGATGACACTTGAATATGCAACAAGCACCCACTAATATCTCTCGGAGCCAGTTTCTATGCTTGTATACAAAATTACATATAAAAATAAAGTTCAAGTCTTCAAAATAGTTCCTGATGTTCTCCTTAAAAATACTAAAATATATGCTCAAGACATATTGTGGAACTGGTTGGTTTTCTTCTTCTTGAGTTTCACTTGGAACTGCACATGAGCAGTTCATGACCGTCAGGCACCTGGCTTGGATGGTATAATTGATTTTCTCCATTTCCTTTTAGCCATAATATAGTCACTTTGATTTCTATGTTCTCCATTTGGTAATGTGCATGTATACAGGCACCAGTTTGATGGTTTGAAAACTGCAAAGCTTCCCTTCCTTTTATTACAGTCTTCTCGGATTCAGCTGTGAATCTAAATTTCCAAATTTCTACAGAAGACATAAGTACATTTGTACAAAATACTAATGTGGTTTATTCACACAACCCCAGCTGTTGCCCACCAGTCTGTCTCTGGACTCTATTTGATGTGCTGATGCTAACCAACCAAATTGTACATATCCATCCCTTTGACATATAATATTGTTGAGGACCTTGATTATTATAAGGGTGTCCTCACTTCTGTATTAGGTAGCCCAAGATTGCTTTCCAGTCTCCTCTTCATTGTTCTTCAAGATAAACAGAACAACTTTTTCAGATGTTCCCTTTCATATTATTCCTGGAATTGTACAGATTTTATAACCATTACAACATTGATAAAATATTGGGGGAAAGTATGACTACAGTACATTAAAAACAAACTTCAGAAAAGTGTTAAGTCAATACTTTCTGAGACAGTGTGGGAACATTTAATCTTGGTTCCAAAAACACATTTTAGCAGCTTTAGCTGCAATATTTAATATCATCTTGCAAAAGAAAAACCCCATAGTCCAGTTGCTTCTCTTTGAAGCACAACGACAAATTGATTTTAAACACACAACTATTTTCAGAGTATGACAGATTCTCAGCTGTTTAAAAAAATATTTTAGCCATGTGCATATGGAGGAATGCTATGCTCAGCTTGTGAATAGTGAATTTCTATCTGATATTAGTTCATCTGGTCAATTTCCCAAAAAGTAGAACACAACTGCCCGTGTAATTACAGTGTTGTATTGCTGTTCTGCAAACATCTAGAAATGAGTAAAGTAATAACTAGAAGTCAGCATGGATTTGTTAAAACAGATCGTGCCAAACCAATCTTATTTCATTCTTCGACATAGTGACTAAATTAGTAGACCAGCAAAATGCTGTCAAATTGTTGGGCGCAATATGCTGACTCTGTAAACTGCTTAGAGAGGGCTGTAAAAGCACTGTGAAGTGGTATATAAGTCTAAGTGCTAGTGCTAAGTGCTAAAAAACAGATCGGTGAAAATGTAGATACAAATAAAGTTATAACTGAAAGTCAGCACGGGTTTGTTAAAAACAGATCATGCCAAACCAATCTTATTTCATTCTTTTGACAAAGTTACTAAATTAGTAGATCAGTGAAATACTGTGGACATAGTATACTTAGACTTCAGCAAGGCATTTGACAAAGTAGACCACAAACTACTTCTTGGTAAGCTAGAGAAATGTGGGATAGACAACATCACCAACAGATGGATTTGTAACTGGCTGACAAACTATTCAACACGTAGTCCTTAATGGCACTACATCTACGTGAAAGGAAGGAAGCAGTGGGGTACCACAAGGTTCCATCTTAGGCCCAGTACTCTTCAATATCTTCATAAATTACTTAATTAAGGGAATAGAAGGGGCACTCATCAAATTTGCAGATGACGCTAATATGGTAGGAATAGCCAACATCCCAGAAAACAAGCTCAGGGTCCAAAAATTGACAGACTTGAACAAATGGGCCCTATCCAACAAAATGAAATTGAATGTGGAAAAATGCGAAGGTTTTACACGTAGGCAGGAAAAACCAAAGGTATAGAGATTATGTGAAACCTGCCTCAAAAAGAAGTAACTGTGAGAGACCATGGAATCCTAGTGAACGATCACTTAAATATGAGCTAGCAGTGTGTAGCAGCAGCCAAAAAGGCTAATACAGTCCTGAGTTATATAAACAAAGGCATAGAATCATTAACGATCATTAAAGGCCTATAGACAAAAGCATATGAAGAACAGTTGCAGGATTTGGGTTTGGTTGCTAACTTCCTAACACTGAGAACAATTGACCAGTGGAACAGTTTGACTTCAGAACTTGTGGATGCTTCATCACTTAAGAAGAGACTGAACAGCCACCTGTCTGGAATGTTAGAGGGTCTCCTGCTTGAGTAGGGAGTTGGACTAGAAGACCTCAAAGGTCCCTTCCAGCACTATTCTGATTGACTGAAGTCATAGCAAGACTGATAATGGCTCGGAGTGCTCAGTGCTGCTAATGCAGCTGGATCGGAGGAGAGATGCAAGGAGGCCATAAACCTGCTTGCATGAACAGTTGCAGAACTGGGAAGCTGCCTGGTCATCTCCAAGAGCAAGGCGACTGCTCGGCTTCAAGAAACTGGTGGGAGAAACATTGAGTCTTAAAGAAGCAACCCTCCTCCTCCTCCTCCTGGGCAGGTGGCCCCCTTCCCTACCGCCCCATCTGGGTCTTTGTCCCATCTGGAACAGTCTCAGACTTGCAGCAGCAGAATCCTTAAGAAGAGCTATCTTGTGTGATGTAATTCACTGTAATCTTTTAAGCATTTGACAGTATTTGCTTGAAAGGAGGAGGAACAAGTACATAATTATTGCACTAATTAAGCTGCCAAAACAGAATTCTGCATGGAGCACCTTTGAAATTGTGAGCCCTCAATTCATTAGCATCTGCTATAAGCTTATTAAGCACCTAACAAGCAATTAGCAAGCTGTTACTGTTTGAAACTAGTATGTAAATAAATTCTTGGGTTAATTTCTTCCGCTGATAATAAAGAAAACATTATGAAAATTAACTGACAGTGTAAATTATCTTTTATTTCCTGAAGTCTACTTAGACTTCTGTAAGGCATTTGACAAAATAGGTCACAAACTACTTCTTGGTAAGGTAGAAAAATGTGAGATAGGTAGCATCACTACCAGATGGATTTGTAACTGGCTGGCAAACCATACTCAACGAGTAGTCCTTAATGGTACTACAACTACATGGAGGGAAGTAAGCAGTGGGGTACCACAAGGTTCCGTCTTAGGCCCAGGACTCTTCAATATCTTCATTAACCATTTAGATGAGGGAATAGAAGGGGAACTTACCAAATTTGCAGATGGTACTAAGCTGGTAGGAGTAGCCAACACCCTAGACCCATTAAGGACTACTCGTATGGTTTGTCAGCCAGTTATAAATTCATCTGATGGTGATGCTATCTATCCCACATTTTTTCCTAGTTCACCAAGAGGTAGGTTGTAGTCTACCTTGTCGAATGCCTTGCTGAAGTCTAAGTATATTATGTCCAAAGCATTTTGCTGGTCTATAATTTAGTTACTATGTCAAAGAATGAAATAAGATTGGTTTGGCATGATCTGTTTTTAACAAATCCATGCTGGCTTCTAGTTATTACATTACTGATTTGTAGATATTCGCAGATCTGTTTTATTATCTTTTCTAGTATCTTCCCAAGTATTGATGTTAGTTTCCTGTGTCTGTTTTTTTCTCTCCCCTTTTTTGAAGATGGGAACCACATCAGCTCTTTTCCAGTCCTATGTTAATTCCTTGGTGCTCCAGGATTTTTTTTTGCGGTATCCCATCTCACCCACCGAAACGGCAGCATGTTATTTCAATAAAGCCCAGGAAAAGTGACACAGAAAATAAACATTTATTGATATGTAGTGTAAAAGGGAGACTAGAAATACATAAATGTCTCCCAGAGAAAAGAGAATGATAATACTTTTAAGTATTAGTACATCAAAATCAGACAATTATTGTTCAGTTATTCAAGTTGCTGAGAACAAGAGCACTTGGTGAATTGGTTAATCTAAGCCTTCCAGAAAAGCAAACTAAGAGGCATTCACTGAAATTATCAGTTTTGAAACCAACCTTCTCCCTACACGTTTTGAGCCCACCCAATCTCTGCACAGGTTAACTTCCCCCATTTCCTTTCCTCCGTTTACAATCAGCTGCAATTCCTATATTGCCTCAGAAAAATGGCAATAGAGCTCACGGTCCATTGCAGCCCAACACCCTCTAGTTCTCTGCGCCTGGAAGGCCTTTGCAAGTAGGCAAAGGGCAGGGATGCCCAACTCCCTGCAAATCCAGGCCTTTGTGCTTGACCGGCACCCTAGGCGGCCGAACCAACTGTCCGTTTGTTGAAGCAGCACCACCGCCAATCTCCAACTAAGGTGCTCGTGGCAAGAGTGACCTGCCAATCAAGGAGCCATCTTCAGAAGTCCACCAGGACAACGTTCTGTCTCAGCACAGATGCAGTGTGGCTTTGCAATTATTTAAGATCATGCTCCTCTTCAGACGCTTAACATAAGTAACTGGCATTTTTGCAGCAATCTGCTTTTAATATTTCCATGTAAAAAGGTGGATTTTTCCCCAGAAACCCAGAACGCCATATATTTGCTTTTGGAACTATTCGAGAGTTACTTAAAAAAGCAACACCAAGCTTTCCAGTCCTTTATATTTACTCCTAAAACACATTAACATCTATCCCAAGTTAATCTTCTCACCAAAAGGCTTTTCCTGCATAAATAATACCCTTTATAGTGGATTATCATACATAATTTACAAAATACTGTATTTTAAGATGCTGCTATTAATCAGCTTAGCATAAAATCAAAGAATTTGCACAATTGGGGCCCATTGTTTGAATCCCATTGGCACAAGCTAAGGCACAGGCCTCCCAGCAGGAGCAGTTCCCCCCCGAGGAAGGAAGGAAGGAAGGGGTCTTTCAGAACTCCAAGTGGAAGGGAGCCACCGCTGACAGCCACGGCCACCAGGGCTTCGAAGGTACCTAAGGACGCAGTTCAGTTCCCTGGTAACTGAACAGATGCACTTGCTGCTCTAGGAGGACAGAGGCCACAGGTCGGGAAAGGACCAGCGTGTCTTCAGCCCTTGACCCGCCTCCAACTCGTGGCTGGGGAAGAGCGGGGTGTCCCGCAATACAGACAAACCCACTACAAGAGGCCCAGGTATTCTTTGGTTTCTGCATTTAAGAAAAAAATTTTTTTAAAATTTCCCCAACTATTTTAGTTGTTGATTAGCTTATCTGTAAACAGTTGATTTCTTCTTTTTTAAAAAAGTAATGGATGATCAAACACAAATTTTAGGCTGCTGTATTTCAAGGTTTCATAACAGCTTTTCATTTTTATCTATCCCAGACCTGCTGTCCTTAAAACTACAAATAAATCAGTAATCAACACTCTGTGAAAAACTATCTTGTAAAAAGCAAAATATTATCTGATGTATTTTTCTCTCAAGAAAACAGCAATAAAAAGGCATCACTACTTCTAGTCTTCAAAGAGGCAGCTTGGCCAGCCAAGCCACCGGGGAGCCGAGGGGGAGCCGAGTGGGCCAGTCCCAGGAGGACACCCCCCCGCCTGGGCCAGAAGACGCAGGCCCACTGCTGAGCCCCCCCCCCCAAGCTCAGGACCTGGCACCTGCAAGGAGGGGGTGGGGTTAGCCGCCTTTTAGGGCTGTCAATCCGACATTCAGGAGAACTTCGCTTTGGTCATCATTTTGACTACCTATAAATGAAAAACGTCTATTTTCAGAATCACAGGTGATCTTTTCGTTTTTGTTTAAAAATGGGTTTGTGTAAATATTTTTCCATATTCCTGCTACAAGCAGCTGGTGTGTGTGTGGGGTGGGGGGTGTTACCATCTCCTAATCATTAAGGGGCGTTAAGAAGTTGGCAAAGTGGCTGCAGCCGGAGGAGCCAGCTGGGCCTCCCTTCCCCTAGCAAATCAGCCCCTGGCGCATGCGGATGATCTGGAGCAAGGCCGCCTGCACATCCTCATCCATGTGACCCTGCAAAATTAAAAGGAGACCTTTAAGAAAGTAAACAACTGAACACTGAAGACCCGTCCGTTCCTGCTCTGAGGTTGGATGGTTGAATAAGAAGCCTCCTTGAAAGGAGACGGCCGTTGTCCTGGAGGAGGCCAAGCCAACCTCCCTCCCCAAAGTCCCTGCGAGGCCACGCACCTGAACAGCACTCAGAAGGTGCGTCCGGTAGATTGAGATGACTTCTTGGTGCTGCCTCTCAGCATCCTAAAACAAAGGAGGAGTCTTCCATTAGTTTTCTACCTGAAGCGACCAAGAGGATTGGCTTCCCTCTGGTTGAGGAGAGGGGAGATGTCACCCAAGGGACACCCCTGGAAATTCCTCCTGAGATTTTAATCCAGTGCTGACAGTCAGCGAGTCCTTGGGGTTCTCCCAGCTTGCTTGTTTCCTTGCAGAGTGAAATATTGGCACACACCAGGGGAAAACAACAACACCCATATTTAAAAGGAAAAGATTTTAAAAGCTGGCAGGCTCCCGGAGAAGAGCCTTCTGCGTGGCTTCTGCCCTCTGGAACATCTTCCCTCCCTCCCGACCTTTCCTAAGAGCCTGAAGACCTGGCGGTGCCAGACGGCTTGGGGATCCAGGGGAGGAGCTTCCCACTGCAGGCGGTTGAATTAAAACTTCATCCCACCTCCCCACCCCCATCGGTCCAGCCCTGCTCTTTCCCATCTGATGTTAATGATTGTATCCACTGTGTTCTATGATGGTGGGTTTTAATATTTTTAATTGTTTTATGTTGTAAGCCACTCAAAGTTGTATACAAGATCGGTGGCAAATAAATTGGATAGACAGACAAGACAGCCCATCAGTCAATCAGTCAAGGAACCCTCGGGGCTCTCTCAGCTTGGCTGCTTGCTGGCAAACTAGCCGTGGACTGATGGGATCGAGTCAGGTCATGAAACGTCTGCAAGGACCAACCAAGATCAGAGAGGACCCACACTTTCCCCCTAAGCGATTGTGATGTCTCCCTTGGGCGACTCTAGTTCTTCCTCGGAGGCCAGCTCAGGGGAGGATGAGCTCATTCCTGGGCATGTCAGGAACTGGGCTAATTAATGACTGAAAGAGTTTTACAGGATGCTGTGGCTGGGGACAGCTTGCAGGTCAGTGAGGAGCCACCTTCCATGGTGGATCTGAGAGCACGCAAGGCAGAGGAAAGACGAGAGCAATGGAGATCTGCCAGATTACTTGGGAGAAGGCCCTTGCCTGTCTTGATGGGTTACACCCAAAACTATTTATCACGGCAGGCAGAGAGAAGCGTTGCTGCAAACAACATGTTTCATTTACGGCTGTGCTTTCCTTGTGCTTCCTGCTTGACTTTGTGCCTTGGAGACTCTGAACGTCTCTAGCCAAGTTAACTCCTGTAGGTGTAGTATGTCAGTATGGCCCGGTGGAATTAAGTTTGTTTGGTGGACTTATTTGTTGGAGCAATTTCCCATTGTTTTATGGACTGTTGGCAGTTGCTTTGTGGACTAACCTTGACCTGCTTGTGGCTGGATTTATTTGGGACAGTTCTGAGGCTGGGTAAAGGGAATTGCTGGGGAACATTAATAAGCTTTCTAAAGCCACACTTTTGTGTGTATGTGTGAGTGAGAGGGGTAGCACAGCAATATATATTCTCTTTTATAGGAAACAAGTGTTAATGGAAGGAGGAGCCACGCACTCAGGTTTCTTCTGCAGATGTGCAGAGTTGCAAGTTATGCAAGGACTGAGATATTATTCTCCCACCAGATCTAAGTGTGGCGCTCCGAAGACACTGCAATGGGTCCCAGAGTCCTACTTACAGCCAGCTGCTGCTGCAGAGTCTTCACTTGGTTCTGGAGCACTTCCATCTGTGGAATTTGCCTCTGTGCAGGAATGCTGTGGGTAAGCTGTGAGAGGCCATGAAGAGCCTGTTTGAGCCGTTCCACATCATTGAGAAGCTCCGTTATCTTCAAGGGAGAGATGGATAACATTTCCATGAAAAGAACAAGGAAGCCCTGGCCTCCCATCACCCCTGGCTCACAAACGGGGAGAAAGAACACAACCCAATCCCTGGAGTTTGGGCAAGTTTCATCTAGAAGAGGACAGAAACCCAGCTTTGCCCACAAGAGAGAGCTGACCCCATGTTCACACTGAATTCTTGCCTAACATAAAAAGGAAGTAGGAAACAAGTGCAGGCATCTCCACACTGAGCAGCTCTTGTCTCTTTTGTTTTAGCTACATCAACAGCTTTGGAATGACGACCTGCTACTCCACCCATCCCAACTACAGGAGGAAGGAGGAATGCAGGCCACCCAAATCGAGAGAGACTTCAGGTCAGAAAGCCAAACTCCTGAGCGCTTTAACATCTTAAACTGACCAAGGTCGCTTGTCTTCTGGGTATTATTTTTTATTCAATGGCAATGCTGTGGTAATGCAATGTCCCCTCAGAGCTTGCCAGCCGCTACGCTACAGTGACTACATGGGAGCTACCAGGCGTTCAAACAGAGATGGTGGGCATACTGTAATTAAACAAAGATGTGAAAAAACAGTGGCAGGTTTTCAAATTCCCCACACATGAACCCAAATGTCTGCAGAGGAAAATGTGAGCACAAAACCTGATAGTGCAGCGTTTGCTCACCTGGAAATCCTGTAAAGGCCCTCAAGAGATCAACTACTGGCAATTTAATGTCCTTGGGGGTTTCCATAAAGGACTTGTGTGGGATTTATAAATGCCGCTTTAGGGAAGCAACCATTCTCTAATGGCTTCCTCCATTCCAAAGCTACTGAAAGGAAACCTATGCTAGGAGAAGTCAGCCTGGCCTCCTTAGGCACCTCAGCTTCCCCGTTTCAACTGGCTCACCTTGTTATCTTTGGCCTCCACCTGCTTGGCAGACTCCTGGATCCTTTTCTGCAACTCCACAATGGTACTCAAAGACTTGTCACACCGCTCTTTCTGGTCTTTGATTTCCTGCTCAATGTTGACATTCCTTGGCTGAAGCAGCTCCTTCTCATCCCTCAAGGATGGCTCCTCTGCGTTTGCCTTCAGCGAGTCGTCTTGCAGCTTCTCCATTTTTTTAGTCAGCCCAGCTAGCTTCTCAGCCATGCTGCTCACCTGGCCCTCTAGCCTGCTTCTCACCCTCTTGTGCTCAGATGCCTCCACCACCTCTCTCTTCTCCAGCTTGCTTAGTGCTTCCTTCGTGCTCTGAAGGTCAGAGTGTAGGCGGGAGACCTCTTCTTTTCTGGCTTGGTTTTCTTCCTCCTTCTCTCTCCATCCGGACTGGAGAACTGCCATTTCCTTTTCTAGCCTTGCTTTGATTTGGGAGTGTTCTGCCAAAGGCACCGAGGTGGCCTGTAGATGGGCCAGTTCCTGCTGCAGCTCTTGAGCTCTCTGCAGCTCTTGCTGGTTTCTGGTGGCCTGGCTGTCAAGTTCTGCTTTCAGGCCCTCAATGGTGCAGCTGAGCTTCCTCTCCAGGGCCTCCACCTGCTCCAGAGGAACGTACTGGCCCTGCAAGCGGCTCTGCAGGAGGAGCACCTCTGAGCGCTGCCTGGTACTCTCCTCCTGGAGCCGCTCCTTCTCTCCCGTGACCCCGGCAAACTTTTGCTGCAACTCCCTTAACTCCTTGCTCAGGTCGTCCGCCTTGCTTGATAACATTCCCTCCATTTCATGATATTTCTCTGCAAGGATATAGTTTTGCTGCAGATCATTTTGGACCGTCAGGATCCCTGCTGTTAACTTTTTGATTTCCTCGATGTGTTTCTGGATTTCTTCCTCTTTTATTCTGAGCTGTTCCCCCTGTTCCAGGAGCTGGTTTTTCAGCTCCACCACAGTTGCCTCAAAGTCCCGCTTCTTTTCATCCAAACTGGCAAGGGGAGCATATTTGGACTTGATGCATTCTTGGATCAAGTCAATCTCCTTCTTCTGGGCTTCAATCTCTGCATGCAATTGGGCAACTTCTTCTTGCTTTTCTTGGTACTTTGCCAGCATTGCAGAGTTGCTTCTCTGAAGGTCCTGAATCGTTGCGTTCAGAGCAGCCACTTTACTGTCATGGTCTTTTGTACTGAGATATTCAGCCTGCATTTGACTTTGCAGCCCCCTCAACTTCTGTTTCAATGCACCATTCTCCTCATTGACTTTCAAACATTCCTGCTTCACCTTTTCCATCTTCTCCTTCAGGTCTGACAATTCTTCACCTGTCCTTTCCAGCATGATGTTCAAGGCCGTTTTGGCCTCTTCGTGAGTTTCTGAAGAGACATACTGCTCCTTCATGACCTCTCGGAGAGCTGCGTTTTTAGTAACCAATTCTGAGACTTTGGCCTGCTCTTTTTCATATCTTTGGTTAAGCTCATTAAGCTGCTTTTGTAAGTCTGCCAAGGTAGATTTTAAGACTCCTATCTCCTTCTCGTGCTTTTCAGGAGGAATGTAAATTGTCTGAAACTTACTGATCTTCTCCTGTAGTGACAGCTTCTCCGCTAGTAGTTTCTCTACTTCTCCTTTATACCGGTGATATTTTTCAGTGGCTTCCGTCACCTTCTTGTTCAGCTCTCCTACCACTTTCCTGGTGTCTTCATTGGTCTTCACGGGGACATACTGGGTCTTCACCTCACCCCTGAGGGTCTCCATCTGCTGCTTTAGGAGGCTGTGGTCCACCTGAGCCCTTTCTACTGCCTTCTGCAAGGCTTGGTTTTTCTGTTTAAGCTCCAAGTGCCCCTTCTCAAGCTCACGGGCCCTTTGCTCATATCTGCTTCTGACATGCTTATGTTCCTCTGGCTTCACATAGTGAGCAAACTGAGCTTTCTGCTTCTCAAGCTCCGTCCTAAGATGCTGAACTTCCGTGCCCAACTTTTCACGCTCTTTCTCCAACTCTGCTAGCTTCCAGTCCTTCTCATCAATTTCACTGGAGAGAGAACTCCTCATCTTCTCAAATTTGTTAGCCAATTTCACTGTCGTTTCCTTCAGCTGCTCTTCTGCCTCGGAAAAAGTCCTCTCCCTTTTTTCACGTTCCACCTTCAACATGCCAAGTCCTTTCTGCAACTTTTTGTTTTCCTCCACCAGCCTTGCTTCGTCTCGTCTGAATTCTTCCACTAATAGCTCGTTCTGCTTCAACTGATTCCTCAACTTGCCCACTTCAGCTGAAGCTCCCTCATACTTAGCCTTCATGTCTTTCAGCTGCTCCTTCAGCTCCTCAGTCACCTTAGTGCTACCTGCAGCAGCTTCATTGGTCAGGTGATCCTTCAAGGCAAGAAAGTGGGTCTGCATCTGCTTCACTTTCCCTTCTGAATCAAACATTCTCTTCTGCACATCTTTTAAAGCATCTTCCAGTTGTTTTATCTGCTGATCTGACTCTTGCTTAATTCTTTCACACTCACAGTCCAGGGCTTTGCATTCTGCCGTCTTGTGGGACAGCTCTGCCTGAAGCCTGCTGAGGTCACCTTTGGCTGCCTCATAACAGTTCTTGATGCTGCTGAGCTCTCGCTTGAGAGCATCCGCCTCTGAGGTGGAGCCCTGGGTTGGGCTTAAGAGCTCCAAAGGCCTCACCATGGACCGGCTCTGGAGATTAGCAGGCGCCAAAGCCAGGATTTGCTTTAAACAAAACAAAGGTATTTGTTAAGTTTCATGCAACGGTTTCTATAAAACAGTAACTTCTAACCGTTTTTGATGTAAAAGGAAAAGCCTCCATCTAGTTCAACTAGGGTATTTTGAATGCCACACTCCCAAGTTCATTCCAAAATTTTTCAGATTAAAAGGCAGACCTATGTTGGTTAGAAGGATGGACAGTGTTGATGTGTTGTTGGATCACCGATTATACTTAGGACTAAAAGTAGAAAATAGGTGTAAGGACATCCCTCCACTAACATAAATGTATTGCATCTAAGTTTTATTAACTTGGAGATTAAAATGCAAAACATGTGGGAAGGGTTCAGAGGCTGCAGCAAGTGGGGCCACAATGGAAAGGAAATAGCCTACATTATGTTCCCTTTTTTGGGAAAAGGCCTTGTTTTTAAATAGCATTAAACCAACCTTTCAGCGCTATTTTTGTGGTGAATCTGTAGTTTTTATGAACTTCCCACCTCAAAAGGGCAGAAAAGCCAATTGTGACAACCACAATTGCAGGGCAAGACTGACAGCAAAAAAAGGCAGGGGGAAGAGGGCAGTTTGGGGGCATGTTCTTGCTTCTCAAAGCCTCCGCCTTCTCACGGGTGGAGCTACTACAGGAAGCTCTGCTGAGGAATGTAGCATCTCCAAAGGGTGCCCAGTAACAGACTTGGATGCCAAATAATACATGGATCGCCCTTGGGAAGCAAACTGGAGTTGCACTGGAAGCAACAATATTCAGGTACCTGGGATCCCGCAGAATAGCCTGGGTCCATCATTAGTACATTTTCTTTCCCTTAAGAAAAAACAAAACATATTCCTTCTTTAATTTGAAACAAATGTCAAAATATTATATTTTCAAAAAGAAAAGAAAATCAAACACATACTCTGGTTGCACCAACACTTTTTGAAATGGTATTCCATCTCTTCAGATGCACCAAGTATTCCCATATGCTTGCACAAACACTTGGGAGGTGAAAAACACAGTACTAATTATATTAAACTGACTTAACTTAAAGCAATATTAATAATCTAGCGTTGGCTTTATATAGAAGAGTTACCACAAACATCATGGCATTAGTAAGCTATTACTATTGTGAGATGTAAAATATTATTTTATTTAGGCTACAGGTGACAGATCTGGAAATCAAGATAGCTTAGCAGTTTCACAGTGGAATCTCCTCGGAGATTCCAAGTATGAATGGCTACTTTAAGGTTAGTAGCAGAAAACACGCAACTGAAACTGCCAGAGGCTGAAAGCAGACAGATTCCATCCCAGGGTTTTGAAAAAGCTGCCAGGTGTGATCTCAGAACAACTGAACCCTCTCTTTCAGAGCTCCTGGAGCATTCGGGGACTATCCGAGGGCTGAAAAAGAATTGACGTGGTTTCAGTCTTCAAAAAGGGAGAAGGTGTGGATCGAGGGAACTACCGACCAATCAACTTGACACTGATACCTGGGTGAAATCCTAGAAACTAGCAAGGCAATTGCTAGAAGCCAATGTGGTTTTTTAAAAAACAAATCTTGCCGGATACACCTTATTGCCTTCTTCAACGAAGTGACTAAATTGGTGGATCAAGGAAATGCTGTGGACATAGTTTACTTAAAACTTCAGCAAGGCTTTTGACAAAGTAGAACACAGTCTGCTTCTTGGTAACCATATAGGTTGGACAGCATCACAACCAGATGGATTCACTGTTGACTGACCAACCACAATCGGCATTTGGTTCTCAATGGAACTGCATCTACATGGAGGGAAGCATGCACCGGGATACCCCAAGGTTCTGTCTTGGGCCCGGTGCTCTTCAGCATCTTCACAATGATGGGAATGAGGGGATAGAAAGGGATCTAATCAAATTTGCAGGTGACGCCAAACTGGGGGAGGGGGACAGCTAACATTTTAAAAGATAGATTTGAGATCCAGAAGAACTTTGACAGACTGGACCTATACAGCCAAATTCCTAAGTGATGAGAAAAGTAAGGTTTTACACTTAGGCAAGAAAAACCAAATGCAAAGGTACAGAACAGGTAGGACATGGCTCAACAGCAGTATCTGAGAGAGGGATCTAGAAGTCCTAGAGGACGGTCAGTCGAGGATGAGCCAGCGGTGTGCTACTGCAGCTGCCAAAAAAGCCAGTGCAGTCCTAGGATGCCTCAACAGAGGAATAGTATCAAGATCACGAGAAGTGATAGTGCCACTTTATACTGCACTAGTGAGGCCACCCTTGGAATACAGCACCCAGTTTTATTCACAATACAAAACAAAAAAATACCCTACAAGGTGTGCAGAGAAGAGCAACAAAGTGGTTAAATTGTAAGATGAGTGATTGAGGGAACTACTATGACCAGTCTACCAAAGAGGAGGATTAGGACCGATATGATAGTACTATCACTCCTCGTGATCTTGATACTGTTCCTCTGTTGAGGCATCCTAGGACTGCATTGGCTTTTTTGGCAGCTGCAGTAGCACACGGCTGGCTCATACTTACCTGACTGGTGTGGCATTTGAGACATTGCACTAGGAGTAGGGAAGTCCAGGTTTCTGTCTCCTTCATAAGGCCACACCTGGAATATTTCATCCTCTTTTGGTCACCACATTACAAAAAAGGGGGTTGAGACTTTGGAAAAAGTGCAGAGAGCAACGAAGTTGATTAAGGGCCTGGAGACTAAAATATATGAATAACACGTCAGCCGTATCTCCCGCATGGGTTTCCTCAGCCTTCTTGCCATCAGCTGCCAGAGTGATGGGGAAGGAGCCTCAGACCTCTGAGGTGGAGAAGGGTCCTGGTCCCATGAGAACGGAGGTTTGCACTCATGAATTATGGCACTGCTGAGGAGAGACGATTTCCCTCCGTCAAGGCCAACCATCCTGAGACTCCAGGTGGTGGGAGAAATATCCGAAGATGGGCCTTTTCATAACATCACACTGGATGTTGGTTGGACTCTCAGTGCCGGACCCTGGGGGGAGGGATCTGGGGTAACTCAATCTGTAACTTTTGTGCGTTTTGAATCAGATCTTGCCTTGCTTTCGCTGCTATCATTTCAAACGTAGTAAAAGTACCTCTCCTCTACCTCAATGGAGTTGGGGGTTTTCTTTCTTGACTTTTGGACAGAGGCAGGCCTGACAGAATGGTTGCAGGTTTTGGGTCTGGCTTGTCTAGAGAAAAGGAGGACTAGAGGTGACATGATAGCAGTATTCCTGTATTTGAGAGGCTGCCACAAAGAAGAAGGGGGTCACCTTACTTTCCACAGCACCAGAAGGCCAGACAAGAAACAATGGATGGAAACTAATCAAGGAGAGAAGCAACCTGGAATGAAGGAGAAATTTCTTAATAGTGAGGACAATTAACCAGTGGGGCAGCTTGCCTCCTGAAATTTGGGGTACTTCATCACTGGAGGTTTTTAGGAAGAGACTGAACAGCCACCTGTCTGGAATGGTCTGGGGTCTCCTGCTTGAGCAGGGGGCTGGACAAGACGACCTCCAGGGTCCCTCCCGGCTCTATTCTGAAGTGAATGGAAGCCTTGTTTACCTCCACCCCCAGCACATACACAGATCTAAAAACAGACGTCACCAGACCCATGAACATCAACAACTGAGGACGAAACATTCCTCCAGAAAAGAGGCAGAGAGCAGAAGATAAAGGAGAGGCAAGGAGGGCAGAATATCATACAGTGTTGGAAGAACCAGCCTTCTCTCATCTCTTAAAAGTGCACAATGTCCAATGTTGAGCTATTTGAGCATCCTCCTGTTGTCCATCGCTTGGGAGGCTTCACCAGCATGTGACTGCATGGGCATATCCATATCCCTTCTGCACATGGACTCAATTCCACTGAGAAGCCTACCACATCTCCTCAACTTCACCCCACTGCCTGCTTACTTAAAAAAAACCACTACATTGTTTTGGAAGAAGTCTGCTAGGAATTCATCTGCTTCCTGGAAGCACAATTACATGATGCACTAATAAGCAACTGCAAAACTGTACAGACATGGCATGCTGAAGAAAATATCAAAAACTACCTACTGTTATTAAGGCTGCTTCTGGATCCTGCATGATCACCCTGAAATCACAAAAAAACAGATATGGTTTTAGATAGCTGATTGGCTGCCAATCAGGAGCTTAAAATTCCTTCAGAATTACCAATGATAAAATTCAAGGTCTTGTAAAATGTATGGAAGTTTCATTCTTATCAACAAAATATATACAAGAGATAGTAGCACACAACCGAGCTCTCTAACTAAACGAAGAGAAGTGACAGTTTCAACCTATTCTGCATTGGTCAGACCACAGCCAGATTATTATGCCCAGTTCCGGCTCTGCATTTGGGGATGGATATTCACAAACTGGAGAACGCCTGGAGGACAATGGTCAAGAGGCTCAGGGTGGGCAACAGTGGAAAGCATCGGCTGCTCTTAGCTTGGACAGAGGAGTCTGTAGAAAGAAAAGGCCGTTTCTATCTGAAGGGCTGTCATACAGGCAACTGGGCAGAATTGATCCAGAAAATGGGCAAGAAACGATGGTTTAAAATAGAAGTAGTAGATTTATCAGGAAAAAAAAATCTGTATTGGCAACAGCCATTCAGCCATGAAACAGAATGCTTTGGTGGGCGGGGGACGGATGGACGGGGTGGGGGGAACGGCTCTTTTTTACTGCAAGTACTGAAACAAAGGTCATCTGTTGAGGATGCTGTAATTGTGGATCCTGCAGAGGATCAGATTAGATGATCTCCTGGTTTCCTTCTACCCCTTCCATTCTGTGATTCTCACCCAATTATTTCTTCTCTGTCTCCTCTCTCTCTCTGTCTATATCTCCCTCCCCCCCTTCTCACACACACACACACACACACACGTTTTCTGGTTCTGCAAAGGACCGCTAGAACTGAAATATGCCTTCCAAATGAAGGGACATTACCTCATGGAAACGGAGTTTTGACTTCAGAGCTTCAAGCATCCGCAGACTCTCTTCTTGTTGCTGTTCCTTTGTGGCCAGAAGCCTCCTAAGCTCGTCTTTCTAGAAGAGAGCAACAGTCACTGCTATGGGAGCCAGAAAGTGTCTGATTCTCTTTCTGGGATAATATACTTTATAGGTTTGATTTACACAAATATCCCACAGTGTATCGCAATCAAGCAAGCTAAAGCTACTTGAGACTTAACATATGCTGCCATTACATAAATCCTGCACGTTAGCACAATTAACCCAAAATGTTTTTAAAACACCCATTGCCATTAATTTATGATTTTAGATCTATTCGGCAATTATCCAAGGAGATGGAAAAAATGTTTTCGTTTCAAGTTAATGACAATGAACAATAGAAAGAATTTCCTTTTTTACCTCAGTTTCAAGATCATCAGCAACCATTTGCTCCTAAAAACAGAATAGTACACATATTCAGATATTTGAAATTATTGTTTCTTCCATCATTCATGAATGGAGTGCTATAATTCACCTGGCAAAGAATATTTTTCCTCTGTATTTCATATATTGTCCCAAATTTGGCCAAAAAAATATTCTCTACACAGACTTTTTCTGCCTTGCATTCATATCCCCACAAAAATAACCACAACAACTAGATTTGTGGACAAAGGACAGATCCTGTCCTTTTCAATTCCAACTCCTGGACAATTTTCTGACAATTCAAAGAAGCCGCAATTCCGAGACCAAAGTTGCAGAAGGGGAAAGCCTCTCCTGATATTACTTTCTTTCCTTCCACATAATAAAGAAAATCTTAATAAATCCCATCAATTGACTTAGAAGCCATGCCAGTACAGCTTCTTTTTAAAAATACTGTTCTGACAACAAGAGGAAGAACAGTTAATCAAAGCCAGAAGGACAAGTATTTGGTAACAACAATATGACTTGATCCCCAGATGCAGATTAGCACTTAAATTTCAAGATCACTCTGTTTAAAATGAAAAACCAGAGAAAATGAATACACCCCCTCACTTTAATTATCACGAGAAGCATCCTGCAGAGGGCAGCCAGGTTAACCCCAGAAATGTCTCCTGGCCTCAACTGCTAAATCATCATCCCACTCCAGAAGGCAAAGCTGCTCCTTGGGCACACCGGCCACTCCGGCAGCTTTATTTTCACTGCTGCTGAAAGTGGTGCCGGATTCCAGCCATGGGGACCCCCCTTCCAAAGGCAGTCTGGGACTGCCAGAGAACATGCCTGAATAGAAAAAATGTCCCCCCCCCCCTTTATTCTAACCATTGTTCAGAAAGGGAGGGTAGGTAAAAAGAAAAAGAAAAGAAAGGAAGGAAAATCTGGGGATTGAGCCTTGATAAAATACCAGTAATCTCAATTAAGTCTTCAGCATGCAGCACAAAGTGGGACTTGTTACCTCATTCAGCTGCAACTGCAACCCATTTATTCTGTCTAGGAAGATTCGTTGTTCCTGTTGGATTTCCCTCATTCTTCCTTTTAAGTCTTCGTTTTCTCTTTCTAATTCCTGGAGACCAAAAAATAATCTTATTCAAAGCGAGGAGGATGCTCATCAGGCCTTACAGCTAATCTTAGCCGCCCCCCCCCCCCCGGAGCATTCTCCTGACTTCTCCCTGAAGCCACATCCATGGAGGGGAAAGCAGGACCCCCAGCACCCCTCCTCGCTGGCCGAAAGCAGCCCACCCTCCACCCCTGCCAAGCACTGCTGGGCTGCAGGCCAAGAATGGCCCTGACATCTTCCCTCTCCCTGTTTCTCTGAGAGAGCAAACACCTCGGCCACTCGTGGCTTCCATCCCCTTCTAACCCACAGAAGGCAGGGCACGCACCACAACTCTGCCCACCTCCCTTCCTCGCAGCAGCAGCCCGTGCCCAGTCAGGTCTTGGTGTCTGATATAAGACTGCAAGAACCTCGTCCTTTTCAGAAGAAAATTAAAATGCCGGGAGTCCTCAAGAGTGCAACTGGGACAAGAATGGCCATCATACTAAGTGAGGTGTCAAGTGACAGCGATGCAGACAAATGCTGCTTTTCCTCCTAACTCCAGACAGGCCAGGAAGCCTCTGGCAAAGACGGTGGGGCGGCAGGTTTGAAAAGTTTCTGCTTTGTGGATTTGCTTAAAAATAAAGGATAGAATATGGGATGAAGAGGATCTCTTAGCCTTGTGGGGGAGAAAAGTTGTTTAATTTAAATAGCTTTATATAATAGCTTAATATAATAAATATATAAACATAAAATGTAAATAAATATATAAACAAATTTATAAATTGTTGGGATGAACATTGTTAATCATTTATTTATATTTTTCCTCATTATATATTTTTTTCTTGCACTTTTTATTCTTTCCATTTTGTCTTTAACTTTCCTTTGCATTAATTTTTTACTACTGTAATTAAAAATTTAAATTCAGAACTTTGATACTATATATGTTGACAGCAGCAATGTGATTCCCACAATAGATGAATGGCTGCAAAAGCTGATGGCGTTGGCAGAGATGGCTAAACTGACTGCTTGGATTAAAGAGAAAAATGGAAGTACTTTTGTTCCTACTTAGAAGCCGCTTCTGGACTTGGAGCATGAGGTGGAAAAAAATGAAATTTTGACTTTGGGTTTTACCGATTAGGTTTGTTGTTATAGAGATAGCTGGTTTATACAGTTATGTAAAAATAAAAAAAAATGAGGTTTGATGTTATTAGCTTATTCTACTGCACCAAAGGGAGTTGGAAGTCAACGGCTTTTCTTTCTTTTCCCCCCTTTTCCCCACACTGCTCCCTTCCCTTTTCCCTCCCCTATCTTTCCTACTATTTTCTTCTGTATTTTTGTATCTTATAGTATTAATATATAAATAAACTAAATTAAAAAAGGAAAGAAGAGTTCCAAGAAAATCTGCAACTTTCAAGAGAACAAGTTTGGGCTTTTTTCTTCACGGATACTTAACAAGTTTGAGAAATCCTTGAGAAAAAGAGAAGTTTATAATTACTTGTCAGACATTCTAGAGAAGAAAAAGATTTCATTCTATGAAGATAAGCTGGAAGGAGTGATTTAAGTTTAATTAATTGGAATTAGGATTAATTTTTATCAGTCTGATATATGTATTTGAAAGTCTTAATTTAGACCTAATTTAGGTTTGAAAATGCATTTTTCTTTATAATTCCTTTATAATTAAATAATTCCTAAATCTTTTAAAATATTATTGAAAATGTATTTGAAAGTATCTATGTTAAGTTAAAAAAGATGCATTAGCCTAAAGAAAGATTTAGAGTCTTATAATGGATGTATACAAAAAGAAACATTTTATTCTATGAGGATAACTTGGAGGGAGTGATTTAAATTTAATGAGTTAACTGGAGTTGGATTTTTATTGATCTGATCTATGTAATTGAAAGCAAGCTTTAATGCAGCTTGAATTTTGTTGGTGTTTATAAAATGAATTTGAAAATTTTTCTTTCTTTCATAGTTTTTGAGTAATTTTTAAAGCTTGCGAAGTATTCCTGAAAGGAAATTTTAAAGTATGTGTGTTAAGAGAAAGTTTAAAAAGATGTATTAGAACATTTTTAGAAATGTTTTTAAAGAAAAGTTCAGTGTTTTAAAATAAATGAAAAAAGTATGTTTTCCCTTTAAGGCTAAAGAATCTGAAAGAATATAGTTTATTATGTTAATATAAATTGTGATAGTTTATAAAGACTATCAAGTAGTCTTTATAAACAGAAATATATATATTATTTCCATAGAAAGGAAGAAAAAGCAGAGATGGTTAACTTGATTGCTTTATTCAAAGAAGATAATATATTATGTCTTTTATTTGGAAATTGCTTCTGGATTTTGTGCTTGTGATGAAAAAAATGAAACTTTGATTTTGCTGATTACATAGATTTGTCGGTGGTGCGGTGGTTAGAGGGCAGTACTGTAGGCTACTTCTGCTGCAGCCAGCTGCCTGCAATTTGGCAGATCGAATCTCACCAGGCTCAAGGTTGACTCAGCCTTCCATCCTTCAGAGGCGGCTAAAATGAGAACCCAGATTGTTGGGTGCAATATCAGCATAAATATTCTGTAAACAGCTTAGAGAGGGCTGTAAAGCACTATAAAGCGGTATATAAGTCTAAGTGATATTGCTAGTATAGAAATGGCTAGTATACATTAACATGTAAAATTAAAAAGTTGAGGCTGCAATGTTATCTTCTACTGTATTAAAGAAAGTTGGAAGTCAACACTTTTTTTTCTTTTCCCCCTTTTACCTTATATTTTCTTTTTCCTTCCCTTAGTTTCCTATTATTTTTATTTTCCTTTGTATTTTATATTTTGTTAAACTAATAAAACAATTGAAACCCCCCCAAATTAAAATTGACACATTTGCTGCCGTTACTTTTTCTCATGTTTTTTTGATCAAATTTTAATATTGATTAAACATTTAATTTTGAAGGACCCTTGAGAAGGTCTTAAGAGGACTCTCAGGAGGCCTAGGACCACCCTTCAAGAACCTAGATTAACTCTAATGTAGTTATTAAAAATACATGTGAGACCATGATTTCCAGTGGAAATCTTGTGTTTTCACTCATCAGTTGCCAGTTGCTAACCAAATTCTTGTTCCCACTCTCTGAAGACCAACCTTCAATGATAAAGAAGGATATGAGGTACATCTAAGCAACTGTGAATCTGCTCTAAAGAGCTTCGTTTGTTCAAGGACCTTCAGCTGGACTAAGGACCAATGATTGTGCCATAAAGGAATTGCGCCAACGGTATTCCTAAAATGGTGTTCTGGCAGCAGGTGCTATTCCATCACCAGCCTCAGCCAGGCTACCTAATGAGTTCCTGCTTATATGTAATTGGCCTGCCATGGCCCCGAAGAGCACCATGTTCTTTTATATCCATCAATGAGGCATGTGTGCAAGTTTGACATGTTGGCAAAGACGTTATTATCTTTCTCTTTTGGTGGTTCGTTTGTATGTGTTCCTTTGGCAAGACTGTGCAAATATCCCGCCAAGGCTAGTAACTGTCTAATGTTTGCACCAGGCACTGCAGGACTCTGAGAACTAGTTTAGGAACAAATTGAGAGTTTTCAGGAGCTGATTGTGTCATATTATTTTCAGAGTCAAAGGCACTTCCTTCACCTGTACATTCTGGTGCTCCTTCAGAAATGGTTTATTGCTCACTTCATCCAAGATACTAGGTTGAGTCCATTTGGGTAGCATGCTGGGCACCTGGAAAGATTGTTGAAGATCATCTTCAGTAAGAAAGTATTTCAGAAATAGTAATTATCTGCACAGGTTCCCTCATTCCTTACATTCACATTAAGCAACTGCAGACTGGACAGAGGTGGTAAGTTTGACCACAGATACTGATAAGGAGAGCTGATCACATTGAGAAAGGCCACAATCACTGTTGATGCCAACAATATAATATCGTCCCCAGAAGGCAGATCTTTCTCCAAACTGCCTTCAAAATTAGAGGCTTACACCTAGAATCCTTACCTTCAATATTTGCTGCCCTTTCTTCATTACTTCATAACCTGCTAAAAAACAAAGCTTCTGTTTAGATATTCTGTCCAAGCTCAGGAGGAATGTGAAAAAACAAACAAACTTATTCTTTAGAAGCTACTAGTCTGCATCTTCATTAATACTTTATATACAACAATACAGAATATGAATTTCAAAGATGATTTAGAATCGCTGCCTCAAGCTAAAACCCTTTGGGATTCAATGGATTACACACCCACTAGTAATATGAGCTGGATATGTTGAGAGTAAAGCCTGAAGGGAAATTGATAAAATTCTAACAGCACCTGGCAAACAAGAAAATAACATATGCTGGTTTATTTAAAGGGCTTATATGCCCCTCACATCAACAAGGCCTCTGAGGCTCAGGAGGAACTGGAGAAATACTAGACATAAAACAATGTGCAAATGAAAAAGAAGTTAATTAGTAGTTCATCTCAAAAATATCAGTACAGTCTGGCTTGCAAAGAGTCCAAGAAGACAACATTCTGCCTTGAGGAACTCACTAATCAAAGACAAGTGGAATCTTCTATTACATTTTTCAAGATTCTGTACCTAACATCTAATCTTTGCATTAAAGCATATTATTTAATTCCTGCTTCCTTGAAGGTGCCCAGGGAGCAGCTTACAAATCCCATTTTCATAAATAAAGCACCAGCTTCCTTGCTTGATTATATTTGTGTAGCTGCCCATCTTAAAGTGTGGGCGGCTCAGAGCAACAATAGAGCCATAAAACAAAACCATTAAGCAAATAATTACAAAATTTCACGGAAGAAAGAAAGAAAATAGCTCTGTCAACCATCCAACTAACAGACCCAATAAAAGCAGGCATTTTCAGGAATTTTAAAATCCCAAAAGCAAAATATTATTGAGTACATCATTTCGGCATTGAAGAAAGCAAAGCCAACTCTAAATTTTCCCACACAACCCTGCATAGTTAAAAATGAGTTTCATGCCCTCCTCCCCATGGAACAGGTCACCCTGTCCAGTTAGGAATCAGCTTTTTGTTTTGATAACAGTCCACGTCTTGACAACACCTGCAGAAGTGTCCTTGGCTCTCACGGTTGAAGATTGTAGCCTCTGCATTACCTCTCACCCTTCCCTCCCCCCAGTTCTTTAGCAAGTTGAATACTAGTCACAGGAAGCTTAAGTGTTTTACAATCTTGACAAGCTCTATATCAATTAACCCCCCCCAAATTACAAGAGTCACCAAGTTTTCATCACTTAGACTTCTGGGGGAAAAAACCCAGTTCTGGTGGCTTTTGGGGTCTTATAGGGCAAGGGCACTTCCAAAGGAGGAGGGCAACAACTAAACAAAAACCCAACCCTCTGAGCCTCTGGCAATGAACCAAAGGGGGAACCTCTTCCACCAGATCTTATCAGATGGGCAGAAACAACCAGGAGATGGCAGTATCATGAGCGAAGAAGAAATTTCCCCTGCAATTATAAAGAAAGCTGATGTACCTTTGCTGGATTCTTCAAAGGCAGCCTTTATCAGAGACAGGATTTCAGTACTGTCCCCAATTCGTGCATAATAAAAACAGTCATGGCCTAGCGCATCAACCAAAGTAACATCAGCTCCATTTTTGAGCAAAACCTCTACAGCATCCTTACAGCCATATTCACAGCCCAACATCAGAGCGGTCCTGCAGGAGAAAGAAGAAAACATGCAGATACAGTACATGCCGGTTGCCATGTCCCTGAATTGTGAACATGTGACCATGAGGTTGCTATGATAGTCCTAAGAGTGAAGATCACCTGAAAGCCACTTTTTTCAGTGCCAGTGTAGCTTTGAGTGGTCACTAAACAGGACTACCCCTATTCTAGTGTCAGCTGCTTGATCCCTCTTGCCAGTGGAAACATATTTGTGCTTTTATTCAGCAATGTACACTCAATGAACGGATCCTCAGGAAAGGCTGGAAACTTGTCGTCTTGACAAGCACATCCACAAAATGCCCCACCAGGATTTAGCAAGGAAATCTGCCTAAATGCACAGCTCCCGTCACCCTAAACCGCCTGGCCAATGTGTGTTTTCCAGATGTGCCTGGAGTTCTGTCATTTCTTCAGCCATTCCTGTTACCAAAGGGGCCAAGAAGGAATGAGCACGTGCCTTGCGTGGCTGTGATACCATTCCAGCTGTTTTTTATGCCAGACAGAGACAGGTTTTCATGTTGTAACTACTAACCTTTCATAAATCACAGTATTACCTCACGAAACTTTATGAGCATTTAGGAGGAAGAAATGTGCAATGTACAAAGTTCAAGCTGTCACTTTAGCCCCAGTTTATTTTATGGAGTACCATGAAAAATGATGCTCTATGAAAGAAAATTTCAATAGTATAGTGGGGGTTGGGAGAGTTCTCCAGTGCCGCTGCTGCTTCCCCTCCCTTCCCCACTTCGGGAGCCGGAGGAGCCTGAAAGGGTTACCGCGAAGGGAAAGCCAGCGGCAATGGTGGGAGTTGGCAGCTCAGCCTGGTCGACCAAAATCCAAAGGCTCCCCGCGTGCATCATTGACGTGTTTATTTACTTATTAAGAAACTCTATGTGGCCGCCCAACCCTCTCCCAGTTAAGCGGCCTACAGAAACACCAAAATCTGCAGAAATGTAAATGCCGTTCAAATACAAGAGACCCTCACAAACTCAACCAACTTGCCTGAGGCGGGGCCTCCTTCGCCAACTCCTGACCACACCCCTCCCTCCTTCCCCAATTGGCCTCCGAGATCAGGTGACTGTCCAGAAGGACGCAGAGGGCGGGCTTTTCATACAGTTATTTTTTAATTATATTAAGCACCTAGTTATTTACTTGTATCATTCATATGGCTTCCCAACTCAGACAATGTGACTCTAGGTAGTGTACAAAAATTGAAAAAATCCAAACCAACAAATATAAAAAGAAACAACAGGTATCCTTAGAACCTACTAAAACCATCAGGGATTACAGCAGAAATCAATTGTGACTGCTCAAATTGGGGCCAGGGAACAAGCCAGATCTTGACCGCCTGCTAATGGCCTGGAGGGCTGATCAAGGCAGAAGCTGGGCCCTGTCAGGTGGTCTTGATTCATGGCAGGAGTGTGTGGGACTGTCCAGTCAGATATGTTGTTCAGATATGCTTCCGGCCAGGTGATCCCACAAATGCCCTAGTCACCTGCCATACAGGGCTTTAGTGGTGTAACTAACACCTTGGACTGTTCTCAGAAGCCCACTGAAAGCCAGTGCAAGTCACAGAATACAGGTGCCACGTGGCTATAACAAAAGATGCCCCAAACTACCCACCTCAATGCATTTTGAACGAATTGTAGCTTCCAGATAGTCTTCAAGGGCAGTCCATGAATACAGTGTTGAATAGCCCACGAGGAGGTGAATGAGACATTAGTAGCTGAGAAGAGGGCCCCCATCCCAGGAACAGGCAGAAGTGGCACATATGATGGGTGTACACAAAGACCCCTCTGGCCACAGCTGCCAGCTGCTCTTCAAACAGGAGCTGTGAATCCAGGAGAACCTCCAAATTGGGCACCAAATTCAAGGCAGGCAAGGCGAGATCCGAGTCAAGGATGAAATATTTCTAGTTACAGAATCCATGGGGCCCAAAACTCACAATTTCTTGGTCTCAGTAGGGTTTTACTACAGAGAAACTAACTCTTAACGTCTTCCAGAAGCATATAGATAGATTACCTATAGATAGATGACTTGCAGGAAGGTGTCTTACCGATTTTGCTTATCTCTTGCATTAACTTCAGCACCTCTGTCTAGCAGAAACTGGCATATAGTTGGACGGCACATCTGAGTGGCCAGCACCAATGGTGTCCTTCCATCCTGGCAAAAGAACAAGAAACTTGGACTTCTGGGGAAGAAATGGCAGGCGGCATCATGAAAAGGGGAGCTGATGCCTGTGGCAGAATGAAGTACTGGCAAGTGCATCTGCTCTTCGATCATTCCTCCACAGACAAGGAGTGGACTTGAGATCACCCACAAGGCTCCAGAAAGCTCACAGCCCTCTCCGGTGCGTTTAGAGCTCCAGGGAAAAAGTGACAACCATCTTGCTCAAAGCACAATTAGTGTCTTTGAAGCGTCACAAAATACACATCATATAAGGCCTCCTTCAGAAATTGTTTGTTAACTGCTTTTCAGCTATGGGGAGTCTTTGCATTGACAGGTTTTATAGTGATGATTTTCCTTCAATCCTTAATTTAAAAAGTTTTAACTACAAGTTTAAGAACTTTTTTTTAAAGACTTTTTGGAACAAACAGCAAAAGCCAGGCTTTGATTTTAGAAAGTTGCAAATGGATGTAGGGTCCAGATAAATTTGAAATATGATTTTGAAATTCATTGTAAAGAATCCTTCCCATGGGAAAATGGTTTTGTTTTGAAAAATGTATAAAAGAAATGTATATCTCATTTCTTTAAAAAGGAGATATATAAGTAACAAATAAAGTGATCTAAAATTTTCTTATATTGGATTTACAAAATAGGCTTGTTAACATTTTGAAGAATTTTGTGAGCAGGAACAAAGAAACAATTAAAAGAAATCAAGTTTCACAACATTATTTGAAGGGACTAAAGATTAAAACTGCTAGAGGTAAAAGGAAGGAATATAATTTGGCTTATTTGATCAAGGTTAAATATGTAAGTTTTTACCCCTAGTAATCCTTAATGGATTTTTGCTGACATCAGGAGTGAAACGAGGTTTTATGGATTTGTTTAGACAAAAGATGGAAGAGAGGAAGAAAATATCATTTGTTGTATTTAAGTTACTACAATTATACTTGTGATAAGGCGGAAGCCTCTTTTTCATTTACTTCATTCCTTTATTATATTCTTATTTCTTTCTGTTCTATTTTTTCTTTTCTGTAAATCCTATTTTTTCTTATTCTTGTTTTTCCCCGCTTGTATTTGGTATCTTGATACTCAACTGCTTTGAAACTCATCAAATTTGGTACTTGATGCATGTTGATATGAAAATTTTGTCCTGGTACTCATCGTTCGTTTGGTACTCAATGCACAAGCTAGAACTTGTTAGTGTCCGCGGCCTTGTGTGACTCACTACATTATATTCCATATAGGAAAAAAATGTTTGGTACTCATCATTTTTGGTACTCATTACACCTCCCAGAACCAAATAATGATGAATACCAAGGTACCACTGTAATTGTACTGTTTAATAACATTTTATTAAAAAAGAAAGAAAAAGCACCAAGAACTTAGCCCATCCTGAACGAAGATTCTGAAAGAACTTACAGCATCTTTGGCATTCACCATGGCTCCATGGTCACATAGCAACTGTATGCTGGATGTACAATCCGACATTGCTTTGGGAAGCAAAACAATAGATGTTACTGGTGGAAAATTTAAGATTTAACTATTGGCAGATTATTCATTGGCTGCAGGATCTATGGAACAAGTATCTGGACTGTTTTTAATAATACTAATATCTAATAGCCAATTTCTCAATCAGAATGCATCAGTTTCAAAGTACTGAGGTAATAAAAAAAAATCCTTAAACAATTAACATCCATCTTTTGGTGAAACACCAGCAGCATCTGCACTAATCATTGACTTTTCAATGATTGTTTGTAGCTCTGCTAGTTTTCTCATTACATTAGGACTCCTGGTTGCCCACACTGCCTGTCCCTTACCCGCATCATGAAGAGCAGTCCGCCCTTGCAGATCCACATTTTCTGTTGAGCAGTTGTACTGTAGAAGAAACAAGCGTACCTTATTGTGTTGAGATTTAATACCTTCAATATTTACCATTACATTTTAATAATAACAGAACCTAAACATGGCAACACTTCAAGCGGTACTTCAAGTACATTTTCATTCAAAAATGTTACATGCATGGATCAGGAACACTCATTTAAAAACCAGACTTATTATGTAACATCCTACCTACTCTAATAATGTCTACAGGAACATTAGCAAATGAAGCGTTCTGTAAAATCAGTCAAGCTCCACATGGTCTCTTGATCTACAGGGCTTCCTTTCTAAGCATTTCTCCCCCTCCCTCCTCATGGATAGATTTGCTACACACAAAACCTGCATTAACCTCCATTGACCTTCTCAAAGAGAATCTTGCATATGCACAGAAAGTACCTCTACTATGCAAAGTTATTCAGCTTTTTTTGAAACCCCACTGGACATTTGATAACTACTATATATAGCCAATCAAGATCCTGAATTTTCCTCATGCAAAGAAACAAATTCCCTATCATGCTTTCTTTTCTACATAACATTTAACAATTTGTCAACTATTTAATACCTGCAGCAGTTTTTGAAGACAAAGTGCATGTCCATATTTTGCTGCTAAATGTAGAGCAGTCCTTCCTGAAGAGAAGAATTAACAAGAACATTTTAAACATAGCCAGAATATATATGGCATATACATAAGCAAAGAAATGCCTATCCCCTCTCCCCAAACACCCAGAGATTTATACATATAAAGATAACCCTGTGTATCCTGCAATTGGTAAATTATATGGCTCAAGGAAAAGAAAGAAAACTGGGTTTTTTTCTCAATTTAAATTGATTTATAGTGCAGAATAAATAGTTCTACACCTCTCTCTCTCTTTCTTTCTTTCTTTTTGTCAATAAGATACTACAGTTCAAATCACAGGCCACAAAACAAGCACCATGGAACCCAACAGGCTTATAGGGCCAGATGCACAATACATTAGTTGGGCTTTCAAAGCTGTTTAAGTAACAACATGTAATTGTTCTATTTTAAACAAGGAAATCATACCTGCTATATCAGTGGCGATAATGTCAACCCCATGAAGAAGAAGAGCATTCAGACAATCAAGGTTACCCTTTGAGGCTACAACATGGAATCTGAGTGAAACGGAAGGTTAAGAAAAGTAATGTCTTGAACACCTGCACAAGTTTATTCCGTAGAAGTAACGTAAATTCTACTGAGTGTCCAAGAGAATTTGCTCCCAGTTCTAGAGCTGAAATTCTTCCAACATGTGAGTTGGAAGAGATAAATATTTTAGAACAGGGGTATCAAACTCGACTTCATTGAGGGCCACACATCAGGGTTGTGTTTGACCTCAGAGGGATGGGGCGTGAGGGCGTGGCCAGCTTGACATCACTCATGCCTGTGGTGGCCCGAGCACTCTCCCAGTGAAAACCAGCTCCCCAGCTCTGTTTTCTGCTGCAACAGCCTCCTGCAACCCTCTGCTAGCAAAAATGGAGGCCAGGAGGGCTGTGAGCTCCTATTTTCGCTGGCAGAGGCACAACAGGACAGTCCTTTGCTGTTTCCAGGGCGGCCCTGCGGGCAGATCTAAGCATCCTATGGGCTGGATTCTGCCCCCAAGCCTTGAGTTGGACAACCCTGTTTTAGAAAAAAAAATCCAAATAAATAACCTTCTAATGGCCCCTGGACTTTAGAATATGAGCTTCCTCAGCTCCAGCTAAAGTAAAACTAAATCCTGCACTTTATATGCACCCACTAATATGTGCCACCACATGCTTGTAAAGCTCATGGTGGTGCTAGGATTGACTGACCGACCCCAACAGATGAAGGAGGGGCAGGTCTCTGAAGGGCGCAATGCCAACCAAGAGGTGGCCCTGTGAGACCCTGCCCTGTTTACCGCAGGGGGCAAAAGATGCACCAGAATCCTCTCACAGACCTAGAGTCTCCCCAGAGCACTGTGGCCACATGTTACTTCCTTTACTACCTTATTTAGTTTTGAGTAGCTGCCACGGCCCTTGAGCCCCCCCAAGGCTTCATATGGTCAAGATAGGCTGTCCTCAAATCTAGGCTCACTTGCCCCAAAGGGTTCAAGAAAGCTTCTGCAGGACATTCCAAGCAATCGTCCTTCTCATCCTTTTCAACCTTAGAGGGAAAGCCATTCTGCAGAGTCATTTACAGCTGGTATTCTTCGAGTGTTAGAAGATTTGGAAATTACCAACATCTTTCCTTTTCTTAATGAGAATCTCAGGGGAGGCCCTGCAGGGCTGGCACAGGTCACCTGGGAGGGGGAGGGAGAGAAATCTGGACGGACTGGCAAACCTCCTGCTGTGACTTTGGCTGTGGAGGGTCAGCAGGGAAGGTTGCCAAGGGGGTTACTGGGGCTCCCCGTGACGTTGTAATCATGAGCTGGGCACCCGGATCAGGAATGAGGGTCTGCAGGGATACTGCAAGGGCCAGAATCTCACATCTGGCCATACATTCCGATTTTCAGCTCTGCCATCGTTGAACAAATGGACATAAACTGAGGACTACCTGTATATCATTTCACTAATTTTCTCCTTGATTACAATCTGAAATTCTTTTCATCCACAATATCATGTCAGGTATCCCTCACTGCACAACTATATATCTCAGGGTCTTTTTTCAGAAAAGTTTTCATATTGTGAAATAGGAGTTTGGCTTTAATTAAAAAAAAAAAACATTTGAATTTCCAGATGTTGCTTAAAGAGAAAGGTTTATAGAATGTTTGCAAAAGTGGTTCTCTCCCATGCTTCTCTAAATATTTTTAAATTTCAGAATTTCAAATAAAGCTGGTTATTCCAAAACACAATATGAGTTATAAATATGAAATTCCCTTCCCAGCATAAAAGCCTCAACAACTTTCTATTTATTTAAGAATTTTTCTACGGCATTTGTTTTAAGGGTTAAGGAGGTTTCCTAAGAAATAAACACTAAATCAAGTTTATATTAAGGACTATTAGGAATAACATCCCTCTGGAAAATCTAGTTCAGATGAAGAGCTGCCCATACAGGTTTCCCCCAAAACTGCCAATGGTTGGGGGGATAGTTGCAATCAAACTTATCCTTCTACTTACGCAGATCTCCCTTCCACATCCAGTTTTGTGGGGTTCACTCCTTTTTTAGCAAGGACAGACAAGATCTTCTCCACATCACCCCTTTCAGCTGCTTTCATCAAACGATCATCATATTTGTTCCAATCTGCAGTCAACTGTTTGAAAAATGCAAAAAAATATAATAAGCATCAGTATTGGAGAATCTAGCAGGAATTCCAAAAAATATTTTTATTTTGTATTTGTATTTTGTATAAAAATGGATGAGCTAAAAGAATTGTTGCTGCTCTGGCACACTGTAAATGGAGAAACCACTTAAAAAGTCAGATTGTAAGCACTTTTACAGGCAAACTCCCTGGAGGAAGCGTTACTCTGGCCTAAGAATATAAGGAATAACTCTACTCAATTACATTTTAGCAGCCACTTTAAACTGCTTATTTTAGTATTATTTCTTTTAGTACTATTTAGTATTATTTTTAGTATAGCTTCTTCTCCTCAAGCAAAATAGGCCAAAAAAAGAGATTTAACTGACTCTCAAAAGTCAAAAAATGTAAAAAGCCTTTCAGAGGGATGCAGCACTCTTGAAATTGCTAAGATATTGCTGTGTGATCTCGGAACCATCAAATGTTTTGTTGCAAATAGTCATCAGGGCTGCAAGAAATGTGTAGAGAGAAAAAAAGACACACATTAACTGCCAAAGATTCAGGAAGAATCAAACGTGAGGCTACTAGGAACTCATTATCCTCCAGCGGTGTCATATTCCAGAACTGCAACCTACCTGGAGTGCCCAGAAGTACCAGGTGTTCAGTGCTCAGAGTCATGGCCAAGGTAGGGAAGGCTGAAACCCGGCCACCACTGAACAAGACACAAAAGTTGAAACGGCAAGGCTGGGCCTAGAAATATCTGAAGACAGATTTTTCAAAGGTTTCATGGACTGAAGAGATGAGAATGATCCTTGATGGACCAGACGGAAGGTGGAGGTAGGGTACTGGTATGGGCTGGTATCATTAGAGATGACCTAGTTGGACTTTTTCCAGTTGAAGGTGGACTCAAAATCAACTCTCAAACCTGCTGCCACTTTTAGAAGACACTTTCTTCATGCAGTGGTACCGGAAATGTCTGCATCTTTCAAGAAGCCCATGCAGGACAAGGCTCCATTGCACGCACCAACATACTTCACTGCGTGGCTGGCCAGTAAAGGCCTTAACGATGTCAGAATAATGACATGGCCCCCTTCCTCACCTGACTAACCCCAACTGGGAACTTGTGGGCCCTTCTGAAACGGGGGATCTACGGTGAAGGAAAACAGTCCACCTCTCTCAACGGTGTCTGGGAGGCCGTGGTTCCTGCTGCGCAAAAAGTTGATCGTCAACAGATCAACAAACCATCAGACTCCATCAATGGAAGGTTATGATTGTCACTGAAAAGAAGGGTGGCTATATTGCTCACTGATTATCAGAAATGTTTATTGGTGCATTCTGAATTGTTTGCTTATTATTCTCACTTTAACAGATGAAAACAAACAAGATGGGAAAATTTTCATTTTTCTTTGAGTTGCATAGTTGCCCAATAATTGTGCATATTCTCCTAAGAAAGCCAAAACCTCACTTTTACTTTCTTAAGTGTTCAGGTTTGAGGTTTATTAACATTTTGGATTGACCGAGAGGACTGAGGTTGTTCAATACTGAAATTAATCCTCCAAGATGCAACTTGCCTAATAATTGTGCACAGGCTGTATTATTTGGTTTTCAACCAGTCTTCCCCCCCCCCCTCAAAATCTCCTCATCCTCCCCAGCTCTGATCATTACCACAGACTGGAAAAAAACAGTACCTGTGTGTGATCCCACAGCTTCCCACATGAGAGCAACAGCATCTGAGCCACAATTCAAGCAAATATTTTTCTCCTGTTCTCCAGACTCCTTGAAGATTAAACTTCAAGGAAAAAAATAAGCAGAGAATCTAGAGAGGATCTGTCTCATCTAGGAGATGAGAGGGAAACAAAAGGCATAAGCACCAAAGACTCCATTCCTATTGCACAAAATGTGTTTGTTTTCTTCAGCCAATACTGCGGAAAGCATTGCATAAAAAGAAAAGCCGATGAGGACAGGAGCTACCAGAGCAGGCGGCTTTTTTGAAGCAAGTGCGTTCACATTCATGCATCAAGGAAGAAGCATTGTCCAATTTGCATTGCAAGCCACCATTTACAAATCATTCTTCTAATTTCACTCATTTCCTCGTCCGTAACGTAGCTTCCCTTGTGGAAGGAGAACCTCAGAGGGCAGTTGAAATGAGAAGTACACAATTATAGTTGCATCTTTCCCATCTCCACAATGCAATTTAAAGATGAACACCCGCAGTTGTTGTCTACATGGCTTCAACAAAATAGAAGGAGGCCGCCATCTGTCTGTGTGCCAAGTCCCCTCAGACTCAGGCAAGAAGAGCCTGCTCAACTTCCCCGGTCAAAATCAATGAGCAAAACAGATGCAGACATTTTAATTCATTATCCCACAACTAATGGTGGCCTTTATTGGACTTGGGTGGCCTGGGGTCACTCCCGGCCCCGTTGCTCTCTAAACTTTCTCCTCCCAGCTCTTTTCAAAGGTCTTTCCCGCTTGCCAAACAGACCTCATAACACCATTCAGATCCATTTGTATCCTTTCCAAGCTAAATCAAATCAAATGAAATCACCCTTTCAAAACCAGGTCAGATACTGCAAGAGCATCACAAACATGAGACTGGAAGTCACAGCACCAAGGAAGTGATGGAAATGCAGCGCTGGATGAACCTCCCCAAAATGTCTTGCAGTTTGTCTCCCATTCCTTCCAAACTGCAGCCAGATCCTGAAATCAAACATTCAAAGAAACCAAGCATCTACAGGAAGAATTATACTTCCCAATCACTGCTTATCACAAAATGTGTCCCTTGCTCCAAAATGCCTCATTAGCTTCAAGCATGGACTAAACATTTGCAGCAAATATACAGCTGAATTGGACTGGGAAATCACTAACACAATCCTTCCAAGTTAGGGGGGTCCCAGCAAGGCAGGGACATTTTGAGTCCAAAAAAAATGTTATTTCAACCACCTCATTTTATCTATATATTACAGACTGAAACACATATATTGGCTTCTTCCAAAAATGCCTCTTGGAGTTTCAATCCTACGGAAATAAATGCTTCCTTTAGTGAACTTTACAACAGTTCATAAGTTGCAAAGTTAATGATTCAACTTTTTTTAAAAAAATTGCCAAAAGTGACATTAAAAAAATATTTTGGAGGGTTTGTCACAGTAACAATAACCGTTTATAGTTGGAATGCATTTAAAAATTACACATTCTACAAATACCTGTCAATAAATATGTCAATAAATTCAAACTTTTTCTACACTAGATTATGTAAATTTATCCAGCATCTTTGATGTAAATGTAGTTGTAATTTAACCAATAACTGAAGAAAATTATAATGATAAACAAAATCTTTACAACTGTGGAAGTCAACCAAAATTAAAAAGGGATCATACGTATTGGAACAAATTTAAGATTGCACTGCCCAAAATTGCTTGGCTTATTATCAAACACATGGTACCTACTCCGTTTTTAAGAGCACATGAAAACCAGCAACTCATCCTAGAGTTCCAAATCCTAGAAGCTGAGAGCAAACAATTCACCCACTACAGAACCAAAACAGCCCGCCTGAGCCCAAGGAGGCGACGCGATGTCATCTGGGCTTTTGCTGCCCTGCTGTAAGCATCCTGGCCACGCTTTCTTAGCTGGGATCCTCAGCCGGGCCCTCTTCATCCCCCGGCTCTTCTTCAGTCCTCATGACTGACAAGCCTCCAGAACTCTGCCAAGCCCAACAGTCTCCCCAGCATGTCCTGACAATTGCTTGGGCTGCCACTGCCTGGCACTGGGGAAGGAAACCTCCGTGGAGCGCCTGGCTTTGGCTTGCAGCCTTTGGGCAGTGGCACCAACTACTGCTGCAGCAATTCGGACATGGTAAGTATTACCCAGGTCCAAAATATCCTGTAAACAATATGCAGACAGTCTCACACGGGTCCAGAGCTATTTTCTGATTCTCCTGGTACTTGATAGCAGGGCGATAGGAAAAAAATGGCTAATAATACATTCAGTGCATGCTCGACCAGTGAGTAATATGTCAGCTAATAAGAATGGACACGTTGCTGCCACCACAAGTGGGCGACATCCTCCAAAAACAGGGGAGGCTCCAAGGGGAAGCCCCTGACCGGCTTTCTAAACACCAGCCAGACGGCCTGGCACATCGCGGCCTTCAGGCACAGCTAGTCCTTGACTTACAACCATTCGCTTAGGGACCATTCAAATTACAACAGCACTGAACAAAGTGACTTAGGACTGTTGCAGAAGGCCCACCATGGTCAGGGGATCAACCTTCGGCTGCTTGGCACATTTAAGACGGTTGCAGTGTTCCGGGGTCCTGTGATCCCCTTTTGTGACCTACCGTCAAGCAAAGCCAAATCTGGGAAGCCAGATTCACTGAAGAACCAGGTTACTAACTTAACTGCAATTCACTTAACAACTGTGGCAAGAAAGGTTGTAAATGGGTCAAAACTCACTTAACAAGCATCTTACTTAGCAACACACATTTTGGGCTCAATTGTGGTCGTAAGTCAAGGACTACCTGTACAGTAACTTCCACTCTGTGATCAAATGGCATTTCAACAATGTTACACAGGGGTGTCAAAGTCGCATTGTCATGGCGGTGTCACGTGACGTGTCGTGACTTTTCCCTCCTTCGCTAAACCGGGCATTGGCGTGGCCAGTGCGTTGCTTGACGCCTCTGGCCTGCAGGCTGAGAGTTTCACAGCCCTGATCTAACAGAAGGAATCTACAAGTCTATTTTGGAAAATCTTCTCAGAAGTTAACTTAGAAAGTGTACCAGGTACATTTGCCTTTTAAAAAATAGATGTTTTCATAGAAGTTTTCATTCACAAAAGAAAGGTTCAGCTAAATTCTGTGGCTGTTTTTCTATAGGCTTGTTGAAAAGGCTTGTGAAAATACTCAATGTAAAAAAACGCAGGCGCCCTTCTCTCTCTCCTCTCTCTCCTAATGGTGAACATCCACCTAATAGACATGCCAACTAAACTATATTAAATGGCTTGTAATTAGATTATCATGGAATACTT